AGACGTCAGGGAAGCGCACCGCATTAGCTCGCCGAGTCACATCATACACGGACAAAGAGGCGTTCTGCAGCAAGGCTCTCGCACCTGAGCAAAGGTGGGATAGCACCGCAGCGGATGAAACCATTATGTGTAGTTCAGCAGTCCAGGCAATTTTTTGCGCCACTGCGTGTATGCTCCGGGAAAATGAATAATCGCCGGAGACCCAAAAAGCCCTTTACGCGGCGTGAGAAAGAAGGAGTTGTTGTAGTCAAGGCTCAGAAGGCCGTAACGTATGCGAAGGGCGGGATCCACAACGGGGTCCTGAGTTACGCTCCACATAAACAACAGCGCCCAGATGCTCTGGTCGCACCACCACTCATCACTCTTTGCCAAAAGGCTCGCGTAGGCCTTGGACGCCTCCCGAATCGCCCACACACGCCCCACCATTCCGCCAGCAGTGAGGTAGCGAAACCCCGAAGGCGGCGATTGCACCAAGCGCTGGTCTGCAGAAGAGTTCGCGGCCTTCCACAGGCGTTCGTAAAACCAGCAGCACCGCTCGTAGTCACCTTCGGGTCCATACTGGACCACGAGGTCTACCTGCGGTGCGAAACAGGGCGGCTCCGCCGAGAAGAGCATGGGGGCACTTGCCTCACCTCGATGCACCGCCGTGGCGTTGAAGGCGTCTGCGCTGGGCGCCGTTTTTGTCATGAAGCCCTCCACCGCCCGCTTTGCGGCAAGAAGTCCGGTAAAAAAGGTGTCACCGCCGTCGAACATCACCACGACGTCCTCGTCCCGCAGGCCCGCCTCCTCCATGTAGTTCAGCAGCCACGATATACGGACAGTGTGGCTGTAATTTCCACCAAAGCCAATCGATGCGAGCGACACGCGGGATAGAATGGCGCTCAGCATCATCCTGCACCAGCCGGGGGAGTAGCCTGTCTGAGCGACAACAAAGTCATCCCTTGGGGGCCGCCGTTGGGGAGCGCACCCACGCACCGCCCTGCGTCGGGCTGAAAAGGAACTGCTGCACAGGTGTGCCGGTATCCACTGGAACAAGAGCCAGCAGCAACAACAACACAATAACAAGGGCGCAGAGCAGCACCTGACGGTAGTGCTTGCAATATACATGAGGCAGTGCGGCAAGAGGTGCACGGGAGTGCATTGTGACCATGCGCTGTGGCGCGGGAAGGGGGCGGCTAGGTCCCCTACAATAGAGTCGAGCGCAGCAGGGGAGAGGGAAGGGAGAGAGTCACAGCAATTGGGGGAGTGGAGGCAGCATTGCAGCCGCAGCAGCAGCACTGCGGCGACCACGCCCGCTCCCGCACAGAGACAACAGCGTGGAGGGGCAAGACGGCACAAGCCAGTCGCAGCGGCAGCGCAATAAAGGCCCACGCACCGCCTCTCTTCTCCCCCTTTTCCCATCGGTACAAACGGCAGTGACTGCTGCCGCGCTTTCACGCGCGCGTCTAAACGTTGGTGGGGGAGCGGGGCCGCGTTGCCCTCTTCCCCGCCGCCCCGCGGTCAGTAGGACAGCCGCGATACCCTGATGGCGTGGGCGAGCCGTTCCTCGTCGCTCATCTCCCCGACGGGCCGGGGGAGGGGCACCAGGTCCTGCCGCAGCTGGGCCAGCAGCCGCGCGTAGAAGTCGCCCGCCCCGGACTCGCCGCCGGGCCGCGGGCGGAGCCCCTCCAGCGGCCTCAGCCCCAGGCCCCGGCAGAACTCATTGCACTCGTGCCGCGCGACGTACTTTTCGATGCCCGCGGGCCCCATGTTGCCCAGCCCCAGCCCCCTGCCGTCCCCCGAGTGTATTTGCGGGTCCGTGAAGAAGTCGTTGACGCCCTGAAGGTCGCACAGCAACAAGGCGCCTCCGCTCCCGACGAGGGTGAAGTGAGAAAAGGCCTCCGCGACGTGAAACATGTGTGTCCGCCGCTGGACCTGCGAGGGCGTGCGGAAGTGCCTGTCCTCCTCGTAGGCCTCGCCAAAGTTGCTGTTGTACTTGGTGTACCGCCCGCGCAGCCTGGGCTCCATGACGAACAGGAGCTCCCCCGTGTCGGTGGTCCTGTGCGAAAAAAAACCACGCCGGTCACCCTGATGCTCCGCCGGAATGTTCTTCTTCGGGATGCGCAGCACCCGGCACTGCAGGAAGGAGACGTGGGGCCTCTCGGTGCCGGCAGCGAACGCGGCCTTATTGAAGCTCTCGGCGAACGCCTCGCACATGCACTGCGCCTCGCCCTCGCCGAAGTAGTCCTTTTCGACCACGTCGGAGACGTCCCGCAAGAACAGCTTCGCAACGCACGGGATCCTTCCGCCGTCCTCCTCCACCTCCTCCACGTCGTAGCAGGCGCGCA